ACAGGACCATAACTCAAATGCATCAATTCTTCTATGGTCTTGATTATTCATTGTTCAACTTTCACATTCATGCAAGGCTGTGGAAAATATCGGGGCTTAGGTAAGGCACACCTTAGTCCTCAAACTGATAGCTTTGCTCTTGAACACTTTACAGAGGTCTTGGACAGCAGAGTTGCCTAATACACTGCATCATTTGACTTCTTGACTGCTGCTTCCATGAATGTTGGTTGTGGTTAAAAACAAGATGAAATCTTTGACAACTTCAATCTATTCTCCATTTATCATGATGTTATTTATTTGTACCATTGTGAATGTATTTGTTTTCTTTACATTGGGGTATAACCCATACTAAAGACTGTGGTCTTTGCTCTTCATCAATAAGCATTTTAAGTCCAATTCCCTTTCACTAAGCAATGTTTTAGCATCTGCATATTAAAGGTTGTTAATGAGTATACCTCTAATCTTAATGCCACATTCTTCCTCATATAATTTAGTTTCGAAGATTATTTGTTCAACATGCAGATTGAATAAGTAGAGTGAAAGGATAAAACCCTGGCACACACTTTTTTATTATTATCATTTTAAACCGCTCAGTAATCCCTTGTTCTATTCTAAGAGCTACCTTTTGGTCTATGCACAGGTTCATCAAAAGCACAATGAAATGTCTGGAATATCCATTATTTGCCATGTTGTATATAGTTTGTCATGATCTACAGAGTCAAAAGCCTTTGCATAGTTAATAAAGCACATGCATACAACTTTATGACATTATTATTATGTACTTACACCCAAGATCTTTCTGTAGTCAGCAATGATATTGCTTGTTCCAGGCATTCTGAATCTGGTTTGATTTTCTAGAAGTTATTCTTCCAAATTTCTTGATATAGATGAATAATGAGCACCTCCAGGCCTGCATCAGTTTGTTAAAATATTTCAATTTGTACTCTATGAATTTCTGGAGACTTGTTTTTCACAATGTCTTCAGTTTAGCTGGGACTTCTTCCTTTAGCACCATCTTGATTATAGTCTACCTCTTGAAATAGTTGAAGATCAACCCTTTCTTTATGGTATATTGACACTGCATATTCTTTCTATCTTCTGATGCTTTCTGCATTTTTGATATTTTACCCATTGTTGTTGTTGTAAAGTGCCATCCAGTTGATCTTGACCCATAGCAACCCTGTATAGAGTTTCTGAGGAGCGACTGGTGAGCATGAACCACTGACCTTGCAGTTCAAACAGCTT